CGGCTGAGGGGAGAGCGGGGTGTGAGGGTGGTGTGAGGGGACGGGGTTGTTCTCGGGGGATGGCGTGTGGAGGGGGCCGTTACCTGAAGAGAGAACGGTGTGTGGTGGACGGGACTGTTCCTCAGGGGAGGTATAGAATGGGGACACGGGTAGGAGGCTGTTCCCCAAAAGGGCCTATGGTGTGTGGTGTGGGGACAGAGCGGTCCCTGAGGTGATGTGGTGTGGGGACAGGGCCGTCCCTGAGGGGTCGTGATGTGGGGACAGGGCCTTTTCCCAGGAGATGTAGTGTGGGGATGGGGTTGTCCTGAGGGTATGTGGTATGGGGACGAGGCTGTTCCACAAAGGGGATACAGTATCACGACAAAGCTGTTCATTCAAGGGGGTATGGTCTGAGGAGAGGATTGCCTCTTGGGGAGTTGAGGATGAGGCAGTTGGGGTTCAGCTGCTTCTCAGTGTTGCTGTTGAGGGGCAGGTAAGTCCTTGACCACAGATACAGGAGCATCAGGAATGTCAGGGCAGGGATTTTACTGGGGAGGGGATGACAATGACACAACATGAGATGGACACAATGCTGTTTCTGCAAGTGAGGTGTTGGGGCAGGGTAGTGCAGTACCATTTGTTCCTGCTCTGGTGTCCCTTGCCTGGATCCAGCAGCACAGAGGGGATTTTATAGAGATTATTTGGTTTCCACCCTCTTAGATGCATCCCTAGGTAGATGCATAGATGCTACATTACTGGGAAGTAGCTAATTACCATTTTCTGATGGTGGTAGGGGGGTAGTTTCATAAGGTGAATCAGTAGGAAAAGAATTCCAGAGTCCTGCTGCTGTGTTTCGACATCCTTGGTGCTTTAGGACATGGTCTTCTCAGCTGACCTGTTTACATTTGTGATTAATGTTTGTTTGTTTTCCTGACCAGGCCTAAATGAAGTCTACAACACCTTCATGTCATTCTGCTTTTTTTCACATCACCAGACAGCAGCATAGTATCTGTATAAGTATCTTAGACGTGTACAGGAAAGCCTTTTATTTTTAAATATGTGAAATTTGAGCAGACATCCAGATGCAGCCCTCATGTAATAGTGATAATAGTAGTTGACTGAGTTGTTGGAATGTACATACATCCTGAGCTAACGTAATGGTAGGATTGGCAGGAAGTAAAACCTCAAAGAAGGTGGGATTTGATCCTGTTAGGTGCTTTGCTACAGGCGTTGCAAGAGCCATTAGCTTTGATGTCTAACTGCACCCTGCTGGTGGGCCTGATGGACAAGTTTCCCCAGAAGTGATTCAGGAGTGATTCAGAGGTTAAGCTGTAGTTAAATGAAACACACTTGTTTATAGTGTATATTAACTGACATTGGACTGATTAACGATCTGTCCTGATCTAATCTTTCTCCTTGGAATTAAAAGTAAATATGTGGACCTTTAACTATTTTAAAATTACTTTTAATCATGTGTTTTGTTCTTTATTTTTTTAACATCTGATAATATATTGCATCAAAAGATTACATAAACCGCACTCACTGAAGAATAAAATGTACTGAGCTGTGCTAGGCCTGTGCAGGTGAGCCAAGTGGAAGGGTGGGATAATGCCACACTTATTCTCATAGCAAATGAGAGGACAGAGATCTTGGGGCTTGAGGACATTTGTTCAGCGAGGGCAGGAAGTAGTGAGAAATGTAACTTCTTCTGTGATCGGATTAGTGGGAGACATAACACCTCAACAAATGTTACAGATCTAGTAAGGGAACTTGGGAAACGCAGAGACAAGCAATGGAATCCATGTATATGAAGGCGAAAGAAGCAAGTGGGGGTACGGGCTGTGAATTACTAGGGAAGAGTACATAAGGCAACAAAAGAAGTCTGGGAAAAGTGTTGGCCAAAATATGTGAAGCAGAGAAAGTACTAAGACAATCCATAAGATGAAGAAGGAAAACAAAACTAGAAAAAAGACTTTCTTATTCCAGGACTTTTGGAATAACCAATTATTTCCTGAACAGGAAAGGTGAAACCATATTGGCAATATTTTATGCATCATCAGATTGGTTCAGTATGCACGCTTCCGCTTACATACATGTATGTATTTTTTTTTCCTGCTGTAGAACTAATGGTGTTAATCATGATTACTGTAGAGTAATTAAGAGGTAATACTCCAGGCTAAGTGTTAGAAAACAGGGAAATAAGCCAGCTTGGATGAGACTGCTGTGATAGAATGGAATGAAGAGAGTCAAGAAAGTCAACAATGTCACAGTTCGGTTCTGAATTCTTAGGGAGGCATAGGATTACTTTTTGTTAGAATTACTCAGTAGATAAACCATTATCAGGTGAAAAAATAAGAAGTACACTTCAGTATTGTGTAGAGAAATATCTTCAGTAGTTTGGACAATTCACTTAGTTTTAGATACCTTTTTTTTTAAGATAGATGTAAGTCTCACCTATCTCCTGAAGACATATTGGTGCCTTTTGAAACAGGAGGAGCACAATTTATTTCAAAAGCAGAGGCTTACATTTCTTCCTATGTATGTTCATAACAAAGTAGAAAATGCACTTTTCCATCTGAAAATATTTTCCGTCTGTGGATAGGAATAGGACACTGATCCATTTCTCCTTTGCATAAAGATACGCCATCCTCTGACAGTTTGGGTTTTTTCTTAAATCTTGGTTTGTCCTTGTTGATGCCTAAACCCCCCTTGTTATCTTCCAGAAGCTTTGGTCATCACTGTGGAATTCCTGGTATGAGAAAGCGGAGCGTCAGGGTAGAGAGAGGATCCTTGCTGAACTGCTGTAATCATGAAGACAGTGGTTTTAATTGTCCTAATCATCTTTGCTTTGCTGTCTTCAGGTAAGGCTGTTGCAGAGAGGGACAGAGA